AGTAACAAGTGTGATACTACACCAACGTCCAAGTTAAAAACTAGCCAAGGGAAATTGGTATGGATGAGCCTGACATAAGAGGTAAAATACCAAAAAAAAAATGTTCCCGCAATACCATCCCAATACCAAATTTTGATAATGCAATACCAAAACAATACCACACAGGTATTCTTTTGGTATCCAAATATAAATTTTTGTTATTAAGAAAGTATTTTGCACGTAGTTTTTTGGTATTGTTCTTTGGTATTTGACCTCTTATGTCATGCTGGTCAATACCAATATTTGGTATCAGGTCAGAATTAGGTATTCATTAGTTATTTTCTCCTGCTCGGGTGAAAGTCAAAGGAAAGGGCCCAAAAAGTTTCGATTGGCCGGGCCTTCGGATAATTCGGAGGATTCATCTCTTTTGGCACGTATTGCACATTGTTTTGCCTTCCGTGTCTTTCGAGTAGTGTATTGACACCAAATCGGATCAGTACTATGGACCATCATGTTGACGAAGCATGGGCCGCAGACGCCGATTCAAACACTCTTGAACGTAAATTTCAGTGTTCATCGTCTCCTTCGTCACAAATGGCTTTGACAAGTTGCCACACTCACATATCACTTGCCAAACCATGGCCTTGTTACCAAATTATTCGGTAAAACTTTACCTATCGGCATCGTAAACTTCCTGACTATCACGGACTGTGTAGTATTGGTCTCCTGGAGGCGTCTTGTAGTCAAATTTGATGTATGTTTCATTGTCCATGATAAAAACACACCAATTTTCCGCACAGCAGGCTAACATACACTGGGGAAAATGGACGTATGAATTCCATAAGATCCACTTATGAATTTTAGCCTCAAGAAATTTGTATGAATTTCACTGATTTGCCTTATGAAAAATAATGTTGACAAAAAATAATAAAATGGAATAGACTGGAACCGAACTATGGACGTTGAGATTACGCCTGTGTTTTGACCGCGCGTCTTTCGACGCTTGGGAAACTTAAATGGTTAAAGGCGTATAAGAACTACCTCACGCAGTGGTGTCGTCTTAACCTCAATCTACCTGTGCACTAACTCTCAAAACATAAGCAATTATCAAAATATTGCTTGCAATGGATAGATATCGAGTTAACTAGAAGATTAAGTGTATTTTTCAACCGATTCGAGTATGAATATGGCATTAAATCTGTTTTTGAAAGTTGGTGCACAGGTAAAAAGTGAGGTTACGCGACGCCACTGACCTCACGTTAGACGAAAATCTTTCATAAGTCACGCTTATGAAATTCTTATGTGTCGTTCATAAGTCGAGCCTTATGAAATTCTAAAGTTTATTTGCCTCAGTCAGGTCCATTCAAATTCCATTTTTTAATTCCCGGTTTTCCCGGTTATTTAAAAAAAAAAACTCTACCTTAAGCAAAAAAGTCGTTCAAAAATATTCCTTTAGAGATAATGATACAATTTTGTCAGCACAATTCCTTTACAATATGCAGGGCTGGTAGTGGGTATTTTATACAATAGTATTGACTACAATAACGAAAAAAGTGACCAAATAGTGACATTTATTGATCGAAAAGATATTAAAGATATGGATCTAATCTGTCGTTAAATGCGGTCCACTTTGAGAAATATTATAAATTCCCAAACCACCATGAGCATTTTACAAGTTTTTTTTTTTAATAAAACAAATGGTTGAAGGATCTTATAAATTTGTATTCGTAAAATCAGTATTAATTGGATAATCAATAGGTGAATTTGTAATCTTCATTTCCTCACACAGTACTCATTTTTCTGCAACGATATTTCTGGAAACCAACGTTGAATAAGTTGAATTTAGATTCAGATCGCGAATTGGTTTAATTCTGGGATGTGAAAGATTGAACATTGACATTTATTAGGAAATCTTGAAGTTGGAAAAAATTGAGGCACAGAGAAAAATGTTCAACTTCTTGGATAAATTTGTCAATTTTAAGACAAGCAATTTTAAAGATCTCGAATATAGAAACTTCTGTAAAACTTCAAACAAAGACAAATTTTCATATCTCAGGAACCTAGACAAGTGTTTTGGATCGTATCAATATTTATCTTTATTCTGGAACGAGGAAAATTTTCTCGAAAAATCTCGATCTTCAAAAAAGTTGTAAGATTTTGGTATACATTTTAGAGATATTAACCATTTTTTTTGGTTATTGCTGGTACTTAGTAATTTGCGATTTTTAATTCAAACAAATTAAGACAGCGTAGAATAATTTACAATATGTTAGAATGTAAGTCCGAGAAAAATTTAATGTTTCTAAAATATAGAAAATATTCCATGATTTTAAACATAGAATTTATCTAAAATCTGGGATTGTAAATTAGTTGATTCCAGACTTGTGGAAAATACAATTGAAAAAAAAAAAGAAATTTTGAAAAAAAAATGATGCTACTACATGATACTTCGATGTTTGCCGATACAAAAGCTTCCGGCCTTCAAAGATTTATCAAAATTCGGGTCTTTGAAGAAATCTCTAGCGCTTGGAAAGTTTCCTAAACCATTTGTCAACGTATTAGGCTTGGAAAACTTTCAAGATGACGAAGAGATATCGGAACCAGAGTTTTGTTCAGAAAATTTGTGATATCTCGAGATCATAGACAATGGAAAAAAAATGTATAACCTTATTTTTCTTGAAGATAACGGACTTGCAATAAATGCACTCTGGCCATTCTTTTTAAGAATTTAAAAACCTTTTTTTTTGGTTTTTTTTTTTCCAGTTGTCTAACCTAGTTTTCTCAGTTTAATTGAAACAGTTAAATATGGTAAAATACCCCAAGTACCTTCACTAGCTTTATTGCATGATAAAACCCAAATCCTTACTTGAAGCATAGATTATAAGGGGTTGGAATTTAGAAGGGAAATGCAAGGAAATGATTTTTGAAATAATCTTAAAAAAATCTTTACAGGATTCCAAGAGGATGATTTGAGAATGCTTAGCAAAATTTCAAGGAAAGTATTTTTTTTTTAATTTACAGTAATTTTCACACTCTCGGATCATCAAGGAAAGTATTTTTTTTTAATTTACAGTAATTTTCACACTCTCGGATCATTCGTGCTTTATCCGGGTGAGATTTGAACTCAGAGTTTGGAGTGAGAGGTATTGATTCAGATCTTTATGTTTTACAGACTCACCTCGGTATTCAAAGATGTCCTAATCTTGGTATCTGGTTAGCACAAAGTGCAGAAATTAATGTTTAATTTATCTCTATGTCCGGTGTCGAACATTTGCATGCCATGCATCATTGGAGTTTACAAGGAGTTTTAGGCGGCATGAATCTGCTTCTCTATTTTGAAGTTGCTCCGTAACAGGATATGTCTCGCTCAGCCTTTATACTAGAACTACTTCACTCGTAGCAAAAGAATTCAAGCAATGACACCATATGAAATTCTATAAATTTAGCTATCGTAGTAGAAACAACGACAAAATCACCGCTTGATCCGGGCGCGAACAGATTGCGAGTGAGAGAAAAGAATATATGAAAGTTGTAAGCAAGAGAATGTAATTATGTATGTGCTATAAAGTTGAATGATTCCAAGTAATATTACAAGTTTAAAGGTTTAAAGGATTTTTCAAGACCAAATTATGGCCTACAAGACTAATATAAAATCAAAACTGGTACTTGGGATGAGTATATATCATCTTTCCTGGTGCAATTTATACAGCTTCCGAGCTCTCGGTTTGACGGATGCGGCTTGTTTCTGACTCCACTTTGGCTTCTTCTGCTTCTTGAACGTTTTCAGCCCGTTTCTTACCTTGGCACGTTCTTCGATGTTCTCAGTTTATTGGCTAAATCTCGAACAGAGGCACTTTTCTTACGGACGAAAGCTTGGGTGCAGTTTTCGGTTCACCGGTCACGGTTTACAGTTTCGGTGTGTCCTCGACAGTAACTTTTTTATCGAACTTCCGGATGGCGGTTCGGACTACTCCGAAACTTACATCCTCCATTTTTTCCAACCTCCTTACTGATAGGTTGGGAATAGTGCATCATTTGTGCACGATCTGTTTGCACTTTTCCGGGGAAATGCCTCGCATTTTGATGATGTTGTAAAAAAATGCACAAAATGCACAAAATTGTTGAGTAATAAGTAAACACTAACACACATCGATGAATAAATGATAAACTTCATTCATCGATGTGCGGGGTAGAAATGACGGCGTGTTGAAAGTGTGCTTATACTTTCTGGGACACTCTATATTCAGAGAAAAAAAATTAATCCTCTTCTATATATCTTTGCCATTCTTGCATTTACTCAAAGGATTCATTTTTGTTGGACACAGCTGGATCGAGCAGATGCAACAATCTACTCGAAGATTATTTTTTGTCAGTCGTTATTAGGTGTAACATCTATTAAGAGAATACCCATTTGGAGGTTAAATTTTGCAACAACTAACAACGTCTAGCATCTACGGAAATGGATTTTTATCAATCCCATTTTTTTTTTTTTAAATCTTTATTATAGAGATTTTTAGCCGCAGGCTAGTTCATCTCTTAGGAGCTCAATTTAGCATCGAAGTATCCTTTTATATCCATTGAGCAGCCACAAGTTCGCAACCATATTTAAAATTTTAAATGATCAACCGAGTATGTTTGAAACAAGCGAAGCTAGTCAAACTTAGTAGTTAATTTTCCCGTAGTTAACTACAGATTGTTCCGTGAAAATAAAGGCTGATAACCTCATGATGAATAGAAAATAAATATCTAAACACAGCAAAAACTTTGTAAATTATCAAGGTGTATATTGATGAATTTCCCAGCTTATGTAAAACAAACAGCAGGGAAGTTTTAATTTTACTGAATTTTAAGAATGTTAATCTAGTTTCATTTGCTTTGAATGTTTTAGAATGAACAAATGTTTAATTTTCCTTAATATGTTATGTTTTAGCATTTATTCATTGATTGTAAAACGTGTAACTTCATATTTAGCATAACATTATGATTTGCGTACATTTTTGAATTAATTGAAACAAACTTACCACTTCACTCAGATCGTTGGCAATCTCCACATCCGCTACCGAAAACAGCTCTCCGGCTCGCGACAAATCTCGCTTTGACAAAACCGTCGTAAATAAATCATGCATCTTGCTCTCTGTGTAGTGGCTGACTGCTTCCTTCTCACTCACTCTTTCCAGAATCAATCAATCGATCCTCTTCATCGCACGATCCCATAACCTATCAACACTTCTCTCGCAACAACACAGATAATCCTGGCTTTGTGCCTGTAAGCTGCGCTTCCTTTCACCACCGTTGTTGATTGCATCACAGTTTTACCACCCCAACAGGATTACCACCTAAGCTTTGCTTCCATTTACCTTAATGTAGGTTGAAAATGCGAACACTTTTTCCCTGCTCTTCACTCATCACATACTTTTGCTTTCCTTCTCACCGACGGCGGCGCGCAGTTTCCACTTTCGACGTTGGGTCGTAGGAAAACATTTCACGCTCGCACGGCGGTTGCCTCAGCACTACTGCTTTTCTTCACTCACTTAGAATTAATGAAGTGCCAATCACGCACGACTGCGACGACGACGACGACGACGACGACGACGATGCCGCACCGGGAAGAGTCAGGATTAATTCACGCCTTTCGGTCAGTAGCGCTTCCCCATCAGCCTAGTCAAAACACGTGCGCCGAACTGGAGAAATCTGCAAGAGAGAAATGGATTTAGTTTGGAGATTAATGACACACTTAAATCTAAACGGACTAATTATAGCGTGCGGGTAACAACACGGGAGTTTCGGAATTTCGATAGCAGCGGAAAATTCTTGTTGCATTTCACTTTTGATCGTAAGTTGGTACACGCGAGTCTGCTTGTCTGTCTGTCTGTCTGTCTGGCGGTCCGTGTCTAGTGTTGGCAGAGGCGGAATTCAAGTTTTCGGTAAACGGGATTCCATTTTGCGCGAGCTGAGGAATGCGTCTGGTGCGACTTCTGAGCATCAGAGAGCTGGTGTACCTATCTGACTGGTAGGGTCTTGTTCGATCGGTGGCATAGTTATGCAAAGTATTTGAACGAGAAAGTCGGAGGAAGGTGCGGGATAAAGCAGCTGAAGATGAGAAGATGCTGCATAGAGAAATACGCCATGCCAATGTCACTTTCAGAGATGGGATGGGAATGGAAGGTAGTGCTGGAGGTGGAGATTGTGGAAAAATGGGTGCGTTTGAGGGGGAAAAAACATCGAAATGAGATGAGCGGAAGAAGAGCTGTTTAGAGCAGTTAAGGTTCGTTTGGGTGGTGCGAAAAGTAACATAACTTTTCTTGAATGAATAATTTTAGCTCGAGTTTGCTTTGGAATTGGAAAATAGAATAGATAAATTTTAACAAAAAGCTACTTTGGTTTAGACCAAAATAATTTACTAAACTGGGACTATGCAAAACGGTAGATATAAATAAGATGCTGTAAATTTTTTTTAAATTTTATCGCACTCACACCCAGTCGTTATTTTTTTCGAGACCAAACTTAATTTTTTAAATTATCATATTGGGTAAGGTGGGGTAACATGCCTGTTGAAAATACCTGTTTTACCTATTTTTAGTGGATCTTTTAACACTCCAAACACGATGCCTCCGGAAAATGTGTAACGGTAAACTTGCAATGTTTGAAAAATAAATGCTCAGCCATTTATTGACGAATTTCAAATCTATTGGCGCCATTTGAAACTTCTTACTAATCTATCGATAAACTTCAGAGCAATGATTTTTCAAACATTGCCAATTTGCCGTTACACATTTTACCGGAGGTTTCGTTTTTTGAGTGTTGAAGAACATTGCTAGTTCAATGTCTGAAGTAGAAAATATATTGCAAATGTATTCAAAATTAGCAAAAAGTCATCTTGCCCCGGGGTGCATCTCACCCCATCTTACCCTACCACACCGACGATGAAAAGAAACGAATACCTGTCTCTTACCGCATTATATCTTAATCAATGGCAAAAGTACACCGGTTGCAGCCAGCATGGATGGTGAAACACCGATCAGATCAGCAGTTTGAAAGTTTGGTAGGTGGAGAACGTCAGGGGTTCCACACCAGCACAAGCTGTGCAATAGATATCTAGCGTTCAAAATCATACGAGCCTAACTGCAATGATCGATTTTTTTCATTGATTTTCACTTCGCATTACTAAAGTTAAGTGAACCAATTTTCCTAAATGTTTCCAAAATCAACAGCAAATGCACCGAGCAATGTTGATCTAGCCAAGTAATTAAAAATGAAGAGAATCGATCATCGCAGTTAGACCCTTATGATGCTGAACGCTAGATATGTAATCCAATGTATGTTTAATTATTTGCCGTTTCCACTTTTAGCGTCGCACCTGCAGAAGGCACAGCAATATACCGATGGGAATGGCTGGTACTGGTTGACTGGGTCCCGAGCAATGTCCAACATCAACATGACAGCAAATCGAAATCAAACTTTGATATCAACATCAAACTGAAATCATAATTTGATTTCGATTTACGCGATTGATATAATTGATAACAAATTTTGTTTTCATTTCGCGGCATATTTGCTCTTCTAAAATATCTTTTGACATTTTGTTTTCATTGCCTTAGCAGAACATCAAATTGAATACTAGTTTTGCTATCAACGGGAAAACTGTTATTTTTTTTAATTTTTTTTTTAATAACCTTATTATTGAAATTGTTAGCAATTGTAGTAAGGGAAATGACGGCTTCGGCATGACAGACTATTTTCGGCAACCCAAATTGAAACACTATTTTCACTGGATATTCTTACGAAAACACTTCGCTGAATGCATGCAAACGATTCTTTATGCTTTCAGCTTCAATTTGACTATATTTTTACCACTGAGAAAAAGCAATTTAGCAAGGTTTTCTTGAAATGAAACACACGCACTACAAATTGTAGCTGATTTCGAGTTGCCGATAATAGAACAGCAGATTTACATGCAGTTCAAATGGAACGGTTGCCGAAGAAAAACTGGTTGCCGACAATACTCGCTTTCACTAGAGAAGATTGGAGCTTTGTAAAAGCGTTTCAAAACAGTTTTTGACAATTCTTTCGAGTGAAATTGTTAGAGCAGCTGGCAGCAATAGATTGTAAACAAACCAATACTGCATATGTGTGCGTTCCTTAGAGAAAAAAGGCTATAGAAAGAAGGTCGCTGCTTAGGTTGCCGAGAATACGTAAATTCCCCTAATTGTAAAAATGAAACCAAAACCAAAACGACATCAACCTGAGTAATCATTATCAGCGACATCACAACATCAAATTTAGATTTCAATTTGATCTCAGACTAAGCTCGGGATGATTTCCAAAGTCGAGCATGCCCCGTACCGTGAGTAGATCACCTTTCCGTGGTACGTTACGGGATGTAACCACCGATTCCTAGTCCTGACTACTTCAAAATAGGGGAACAGGATTTTTCAGTAATCAAAGGAACACATCTTAGTCCTTGTTACGTTTTATGCCTTGTTAATAGTGATAAGTCCTCGGGTTGCATCACCGAGGATGATCTTGAAACAAGGAAAAAATGGGTTAGTCTTCATATATGTGATTCCTAATCTTCTATTAGTTGTTCCCTAGTTTGAAGTGGTTAAGACTAGGGTCATTGCTTAATTTTGTTGCTAAGGAATCCAATTTTGACTGACAAAGGGCCTGCCTTTGGGGGGTGCTCTCACTTTTCGAAGGGTATTAATAGTGGAACTTTTCAATTAGAACCGATTCCTTGCGATGAAGGCAAGAATGACAACTGCATCAAAACCGAGTGCTTCATCATTTCTAAATGGTGATGGAGTAATACGACATACACTACCCGTCATAAGTGACGACTTGCGTGGAAAAGTATTGCAACACTCATTTGAATATTGTATCACCTGAAAAAGTTTAACATCACCCAAGAAAAGTTTATATTTTCACTAAAATTTGAACAAATTCACTGTATCACTGTTAATTAGACTAGGAAAGTTTTGCAGAAAGTGATGGCTTATTTATCCTTAGTAGATAAGTTTGAAATCACTATGAAAAATAATAAATCATTAAATATATTTTACCCGCCATAAGAATAATATCGCTCCACGGAAAATCAGACCTGAAAAAATTAGAATCTCGTGAAGTCGTTGCGATTCTATGCACAAAAGTTTGGTATGATTTGAATTTGAAGTGAATCACACCTGAAAAGTTTGAAATCACTTGAATTGGATGTGAATCAGACCTGAAAAGTTCGGAATTACTTGAATTGGATGTGAATCAGACCTGAAAAGTTTGAAATCACTTGAATTTGATGTGAATCAGAGCTGAAAAGTTTGAAATCACTTGAATTTGATGTGAATCAGAGCTGAAAAGTTTGACATCACTTGAATTGGAAGTGAATCAGACCTGAAAAGTTTAGAATCACATGAATTTGATGTGAATCAGACCTGAAAAGTTTGAAATCACTTGAATTGGATGTGAATCAGACCTGAAAAGTTTGGAATCACTTGAATTGGATCAGAGCTGAAAAGTTTGGAATCACTTGAATTGAATGTGAATCAGACCTAAAAAGTTTGAATCACTTGAATTTGATGTGAATCAGAGCTGAAAAGTTTGACATCACTTGAATTGGATGTGAATCAGACCTGAAAAGTTTGGAATCACTTAAATTTGATGTGAATCAGAGCTGAAAAGTTTGAAATCACTTGAATTGGATGTGAATCAGACCTGAAAAGTTCGGAATCACTTAAATTTGATGTGAATCAGACCTGAAAAGTTTGAAATCACTTGAATTTGATGTGAATCAGACCTGAAAAGTTTGAAATCACTTGAATTTGATGTGAATCATAGCTGAAAAGTTTGAAATCACTTGAATTAGATGTGAATCAGACCTGAAAAGTTCGGAATTACTTGAATTGGATGTGAATCTGAACTGAAAAGTTTAGAATCACATGAATTTGATGTAAATCAGACCTGAAAAGTTTGAAATCACTTGAATTTGATGTGAATCAGAGCTGAAAAGTTTGAAATCACTTGAATTGAATGTGAATCAGACCTGAAAAGTTTAGAATCACATGAATTTGATGTGAATCAGACCTGAAAAGTTTGGAATCACTTGAATTTGATGTGAATCAGACCTGAAAAGTTTGAAATCACTTGAATTGGATGTGAATCAGACCTGAAAAGTTTGAAATCACTTGAATTGGATGTGAATCAGACCTGAAAAGTTTGAAATCACTTGAATTGGATGTGAATCAGACCTGAAAAGTTTGAAATCACTTGAATTTGATGTGAATCAGACCTGAAAAGTTTGAAATCACTTGAATTTGATGTGAATCAGAGCTGAAAAGTTTGAAATCACTTGAATTGGATGTGAATCAGACCTGAAAAGTTTAGAATCACATGAATTTGATGTGAATCAGACCTAAAAAGTTTGAAATCACTTGAATTGGATGTGAATCAGACCTGAAAAGTTTAGAATCACTTGAATTGGATGTGAATCAGACCTGAAAAGTTTGGAATCACTTGAATTGGATCAGAGCTGAAAAGTTTGAAATCACTTGAATTGAATGTGAATCAGACCTAAAAAGTTTGAATCCTTGAATTTGATGTGAATCAGAGCTGAAAAGTTTTACATCACTTGAATTGGATGTGAATCAGACCTGAAAAGTTTGTAATCACATGAATTTGATGTGAATCAGAGCTGAAAGTTT